ACGCCAATTCGTTAACAACCATCCAATTCAGTATCTTGCACACTAAAGGTTGGGTTTTCGAGTTTAACTCATGGAGGAGAACTTGGCTTAGTCAGGTAGGCAGCCATTAGAGCAACAAGAAAAGGGGACATTTGTATAAAGTTGGATTAAAGCGATGATTACTGAAAGCATTAAGATGCTAAACTAGATTTCTCTTTCCCTTTAATTCCCCAGATATTTGTCAAAGGAAAACTCCGAGAGAATGCCAGAATGGAAACCATCACATTGACCCTGCCAGTGTCTCCAATTTTGTTATGGCTCTTAGAGCTTGTAGGAAATGAACGAGACTCTCTCTCAACCACAAAGCAACAACAAACTTAGGAAAAGACGTTGCATGCAAACACCAACCAACAAGCACAACAAAATCAACTTTTTTCTGTTTTGTTCTTTTCATATATAAAAAGGAAAATAATAAAACCAAAGGTGTGTAATTTTAATGTATTTTCGACAAAATTAGACGCAACAACATAATCTGATACTTTGGTTTTGTGGAAACAACATAATCTGATAGGAAAAAAGAAATATATAACAACAAAAGCATTTTTTTGTTGACAAACAAACATAACTACATAACCATATAGATGCATTTTAGCAGCCATGTTGCCTAAATTACTTACTTCCCTTACGATAACCCCGCCGGTTTTTAGTGTTGGTTTTAGGGGAAATAAGCTCACCACTTGTCAAGATTTTGAAACTCAGACGGACACTTCTTGATCTGGTTCAGAAAGAAAAGGCACCTCTTTTGTTTCAATCGCTCTTTTCGCTTTCTTCACAAAAACAAAGAATATCATCACACAAAAAAAATAATAAATAAAAAATTCTTTGAATGAAACATTCAAAATTTCCTTGTTTTCATCATTAGTTCTTGCTGCATTGTCGATTTGATTCCTTTTCTTCATGATCTGGGCATTGATTCATGTTTTCTCTTGTACAAGAATGATTTGATTTTGGTTGTTGTTGTTTATTTTGCAAAATTTCATTGTAGAAAGATTGTATATATGCATATGGAAACGTGAAATTATAAAGAGTTGGTGCAGCGATGAGCAAAGAAGGCAGTAGTAGTGTGTATAAGGCATGGGAGGCTACGGTGCGCAAAACGCAGGCTGCAAGGAAGCGTGCTAATAGCATTTTTGGAATATCAGTGGACCATGCAGACGAGGATGATCATGATCATAGCAGTGACGAAAGTGATTGTGGCCCTGAAGAAATGATATATAATGCAGATAGGATTCTTGCCAATGGAGACTACTACACCGGTTTTTGGTGCGAAAATTTCCCTCATGGCCAAGGCAAGTACTTGTGGACCGACGGGTGTATGTACGTTGGAGAGTGGTTTAAAGGGAAAACCATGGGGAAGGGCAGGTTCAGTTGGCCTTCCGGGGCTACATATGAGGGCGAATTTAAAAGTGGGTACATGGATGGAATTGGTACATACACAGGGACAAATGGTGACACTTACAAGGGACAATGGGTTATGAATTTGAAACACGGACACGGTACTAAGCATTATTCAAATGGGGATTGGTATGAAGGAGAATGGAGACGCGGGTTGCAAGAAGGTCATGGGAGGTATCAATGGAAGGATGGGGATAATTATACTGGGGAATGGAAGAATGGAGTGATTTGTGGAAAGGGGTCATTTATTTGGAGTAATGGGAATTTGTATGATGGAAATTGGGAAGATTCGGTGCCTAAAGGGAATGGGACTTTCAGATGGCCTGATGGGAGTGTTTATGTAGGGAATTGGAGTAAGGATCCAAGTGAGCAAAATGGGACTTATTATCCATCCCAGTCATCTCCAGATGCCAATCTTGAATGGAACCCTCAAGATGTGTACAATGTTGATTTGAAGGATTGTAAAATATGTCCCGGGGAGAAGGTTTCGATTTTGCCATCGCAGAAGAAGCTTGCGGTGTGGAGATCAGCAAAGGGTGAAAGTGTTAAGCCAAGAAGAATGTCAGTGGACGGAAGGGTAAGTGTAGGGTTGGATAGACCATTTGATAGGCTGCAAATGTGGGATGGTGGGGATCATGATCCACCTTGTAATGCTGGTGATCATAGGCCTTCTACTGTGGGGGGAGAATTGGTTGAAGATTTGATGGGTTTACATGTGGAAGATGGGAATCAAAGGGGACTGGCAATGAAGGTATCTAAGACGGGTAGGAGACAAGGGGAAACAATCAGCAAGGGGCACAAAAATTATGAACTCATGCTCAATTTGCAGCTAGGAATCAGGTTTTGATATACTATTAACTGGGATTTTATTCCTTTTTCCTTTTACTTTTCATTTTTCCTATTTCTTTTCTTTTTCATATTATCTTGGTTAAACTTTTTTCTATGATACACTAATTATATCCATCTTCACACAACAAAAATATGTAGTATTGTTTCCTTCTTTTTTTATTATTATTTATGAATCAAGGATCATTACAGGAGTGTAATTTGTCTGATGCTGTTATGGATTTGATTGCTGTAGTGTTATGCCAGTCATTTGATGTATGTGGAATAATTCTATGCACAGGCATTCTGTTGGAAGACCAGGTCCATCTGGATCCCTTGACCTGAAGCCTTCGGCTTTCGACCCCAGGGAAAAATATTGGACAAGATTTCCTCCAGAAGGCTCCAAATATACTCCACCACACCAGTCCTGTGAATTTAAATGGAAGGATTACTGCCCTTTAGTCTTCAGGTCTGCCCTTGTATAAAGAGCATGCACATAGCTTGTTGTTGCTTGTTTCTTTAACATTGCGACAAAGAACAGGATATGTTTAATTGGTACTCAATCGTCGCTTGATGTACATTGTTAGTTCATTTTCTAACAGCTTACTGATTACCATGCAAAATTTGTTCTCTTCAGGACTCTTAGGAAGTTGTTCAAGGTCGATGCAGCTGACTACATGTTATCAATCTGTGGGAATGATGCTCTTCGGGAACTCTCTTCTCCTGGTAAAAGTGGCAGCTTCTTTTACTTGACCAATGACGATCGCTATATGATCAAAACTATGAAGAAGGCAGAAGTAAAAGTGAGCTCTATTTCTACTCCCCTCATATATTTTCTGTTACAAATCAACATTGGTTCTAACTAAGTACTTGGCTAATTTGTGTTTCGTGATGAACTAAGGTGCTTATGAGGATGCTTTCGGCCTATTATAACCATGTTCGGGCATACGAGAACACTCTAGTGACTAAATTTTATGGTCTGCACTGTGTAAAACTAACTGGCCAACCTATTCAAAAGAAGGTATTTGTCCACCTGTAACTAGTTTGAATTTATGTGTCTGTCATTCGGAGAAAGATGGCCATTAATGCTAATATATCCTACAAATAGATTAAGCACTCAATTGTATGATTATCTTATGATCCAGGTGCGGTTCATCATTATGGGGAACCTTTTCTGTTCTGAATACAAGATTCATAGGCGTTTTGACTTGAAGGGGTCTTCCCTTGGTCGAACAACAGATAAGCCTTTGACAGAGATTGATGAAATGACTATCCTTAAAGACCTTGATCTTAACTTTATATTCCGGCTTCAGAAGTCATGGTTTCAAGAGTTTTGCAGGTGAATTGCTCTTCTTTTCTTTTGCTTTCCATTCTTTTGTTTTCTTCTTGTCAACTCAACGAAACATTAATTCCTTTTCTGTTTTTTTTTTTTCCCTGTTGTTGGCCTTGTTTTGCAGGCAAATTGATAGAGATTGTGAGTTTCTTGAACAGGAGAGAATAATGGATTATAGTCTGCTGGTTGGACTTCATTTCAGAAATACCTCAGCTGCCGGGGATCTGATTCCTTCTGGAGCCCTCACTCCCACTGGTTATTGATTTTTATGTGCTCTCTTTTGTTTTTCTTTTCCACTTTGGATTAACAATGTGCTCACCATACAAGACGCTGCTATGTTTTCTTTCTCACAGATGAAAATAAGAGCGATGGAACCCCCCGCCTTTCAAGAGCAGACATGGATCAGCTTCTGTTAGACCCATCGAGGTGAAATCTCTCTCTAATTAAATCATTACTTGCTGCTTAATTTAAGTAATTTCAACATGTTATTCCAAGTAATCTGGTTTTATCTTTTATGTGATTAAAACAAAGCTAGAGGCTGAAAATAATAAATTTAACTGGAAATTTTGTTTTGAAAAAATATTGCTATTGCAGGTGGGCTAGTATTAAACTGGGGCTGAATATGCCAGCAAGAGTTGAAAAGACTGAGAGAAAAAGTGATTGTGAGTTTCAGCTTGTGGGAGACCCAACAGGGGAGTTTTATGAAGTGATAATGTTCTTTGGGATCATAGACATACTTCAAGACTATGACATTAGCAAGAAGCTGGAGCATGCATACAAATCCATCCAATATGACCCAACTTCGATCTCAGCCGTTGATCCAAGACAATATTCAAGGCGCTTTCGTGATTTCATATATAAAGTATTTGCTGAAGAGACTACTTGAAACCAATTTCTTGTTTCTTCAGCCATGTAGATTATATTGTGTGCACAAACTTTCATCCTTCGGAGAAAGCTTCTGTCCTTCGCAATTTTTTGTTTTTTTTAAATCATATATTAATTATACATACAAGGCCATAGGTAGATGTATTAAATATTTCCTTTAAATTATAGAAAGATGCTGTGAGCAGGAGCAGCAGTAGTGCATTGTAAATTGTATCAGAATCTAAAATTTTCTGATCAATCTATTCCATTTGTCTCTTTCTTTGAGTTTGAGAGACAGAGAGGTTTCTGGGACTTGTAGCCTCTGTATTGTATACAGGAAAAATGAAATGGGATTCTGATGTTTGTTATTTCTGAACACTACCCCAGTTTCTCACATCAGTTGAGTTCTTCTAGCTCCCCTCAATTGTGACTTCAACCAATTTCTCACAAGCATTTTCTTTCTTTATTGAACTTTTCATGTCACCACCACCAACCAAAACATATATGTATTGGTGAATAAGATTCTGCTATTGGGGCAAAGCTTAAAATCAGTGGCCAAGTATCACGCAATTTGGCGCAAATTAGTGGGCAAAACGTTAATTAAGATATATTTATTATGTTTGAAGGATCCTAAAGAGGAGGAGTGTGACATGATATTGCGGGAAGTGGGATACGAACACAGGACCTCAGATGCAGGAAATTGCTCTTAACCACTTGAGCTACAAGCCCATTGCAAAGAGTGTGATATGTTTACTTAGGGGAAGTGAAGAATTGAGGAGAGAATGAATGGGTATGAGATCAATCTAATTCTTGTTTTCACTTGTGAAGACCATACTTTTAAGTAAGGTTTTTGAAAATCTAAACAAAATTTATGCATCCCCACTTTGTCACGTTCATATGAATATGAAAAAAATGAGAACCAAGTTTCTTAATCCATTTTAAGTTACATTATCTTATGAGAATACTATCAAAAGCAGACACATCAAGAATGAGAGAAAGCTTTCGTTGTTTCCTATTCTATATTGAGGAAATAAAATCAACGATGGGAGTGCATTTTACAAAACCAATTAACATCTAATTCAAACCATATTCATAATACAATAAAGGGTGATTTATTGGCACCCCAAAATTTGCTCTTTGCACCTCATTGAATTTTAGTAAAATTTAAAAATTACTCACTATACCCCATTTTTCTTCCAAAATTGCCCTCATGAACCCCATTCCTTAACTTATCTGTGTAAATCCCACCGAAATCGTTACCTTATTTTAGTGGTAGTCCATCGAATCTGTTTCAATTTTTCAGTGGTAGTCCACCGAATGTGTTTCCGTTTTTCAATGGTAGTCAAGTGAATTCGTTTCTTGTTTCAGTGATTATCAACCAAATTCGTTACTGGGTTTGTTCTTAATATTGTTTTTAAGATATGAAGAGGACTTGCAGAGGTACTACTGAGGCTTCATCATCTCGACCTGATGGACAGCGTCCTGTTGCGTAGATACAGCTGCACCAAAATGGGTTCAACTGCATCCTCAACTTGTGATACTCGCAAGTGCACGAGCCGTTTGGTAGTATAGCATATGTAAGTGCGAGGTCGATCCCACGAGGATTGGTGATTGAATGATTCAATTCATTTTCCCTACACAAAACAGAAATGAAAAAGAAAGGAAATAAATAAAACAAGGAAGAAAGAAATAACTAACTCAAGCAGATAAGTTCCCAAGTTCAATTAGATTAATGGATTGATTCTAGCTAAAGTATGATTAAGCCATGGTGTGTGGTCATAACCTTGTGTTCCTAATTCCCTAATTTGATCATTTGTTGTCTAACCTAAAATTAAGCATTAGGAACCCATTAAGCATAGAAGAACATTTTAAACAACCAAGTATGTATCTAATCCCTGTTGTCGAATGTCCATACATACTCTTCCTATTCATAGTTCAATTCGAATTAAAGCATGGTGTCTACTCTTAATTCAAACCAAGATAGCTAACATGCAAGCCTAAATGGTGATCAATCATTCAAAC